GGAGTGCGGACGTGTGCCCTTTCGATCTACGCGATTGAGGTTGAAAGAACTGAAATTTATTTTTTGGTTATTTTAAGGGAGTTATTGTTAGCTTAAAAAAGGGGGGGGGACTGAAAATTAAATTTGGATATTCCATTCCCCCCCCCCCCCACCTCAAATATAAGCAATAAAAGGCGGCCTCTGTCTTTTTTAAGGAGCCGACAACATTTTGGAGGGTCTGGATGGGGTTAACTGACAACTGACATTTGAATCCCCCCCCCTCCCCCCATCCAGACCCTAATTTGGACCCCTCGGATGCATTCTTCAATAGTGCCGACAACAAAAACTACATAGGATGGCCTTCCATAGGGGAGGGGGGGGAGGGTATGCGGATGAAAAAAATTAAATGTCCCAATCCAACCGGCTACATACGTTGTTTCCTTGTTTTAAACAGACGAGTCGACTTTTACTTGAACTGCCCAAAATGTCCCTTCCTTTGTTCGTTTGCGCTTGCGAACGTCTTGGCGATCGCAACGGAGTCGATTGTGTCAGCCATTGTCTTGTGATAGTGAACAAGCACGCAGTTGTTTAACCGATGGTACGTCACCGTGTTCCTAATTAACGTATCTTTTGAGGCGTCTCAGAGCGGAATAACTTCGCTCCCATGTGAGAGACTGATGTTTTTTTGTATGGAAGTTGGTCACGCATACAGCAAAATTAAATGCAGAAAACCCAACTGATTCATCAGAAACTCAATCAACAAAGTTATTTAAAGTAATGTTTTTAAGTCCTAATGAGTTGACCGTACAAAAGTGGGGGGGGAGGGGAAGGGGCTGTGCCCCCCCCCCAAAAAAAAGTGGTGGGACTGAAGCCCCTTTCGAGCATTTTAGCAAGGCCATAAGAGCATAATAGTAAACATTTGGAGCAGTAAGCATTAGCATAATAGCAAAAAATTAAAAAAAATGTGCCAAAGCCTACTGTCGGCAGAAGAACACTCGTTGCTAAGGACCGTATGCGTAGATAAAGGTCAAAGTCAAATGACAAGGTTTAAAAATGGAAAGAAGCTAATGCTCAAAGTTTATGGGCCTAAGCCCATCAGATGGCGCCACGAGACATCGAGTGACAGTCATTGGTTAAAGGTTTAGAGGAATTGTTCCATGAAAAAGAGTGATATAAACAGCAAGAAAACTAACTATACTGTTACTTCTAGAACTGTGGTTGTTGCCAAAGATAGCCAAGGAAAATACTAACTCCGGAGCCTATCTTTTAGGGGACTCGATTCAATCATCACTTTTCTTTGGTATCAAGAATGTCTGAACCATCTAAAGTAAATATTTAGCTCCAATTTAGGCAGTACTATAGAGCAATAGACATGTCAAATGCTTCCTTTCACATCAAACACCCACACACACAAACGAAAGTACGCTAAATATAATAACTAGAGAAAATTTCGGTGCTGAGCTCATTTAGATCAATATTCGATCTATCCGGACTGTTTTGATAAGTAATTCTAGATTGATATTATTTTTCAGGAATTCAAGATTCAGGGAACAACGTTGTGTGAGAATAAATACCAAGGGGAGAGTAAATATCCATTCGAAGGTAATAGCCACCAAAAAGATGAGTTCTAGAGTAGTCATCACATGAAGACCACAGAGATATGGATGACAGAGAAATAGCACGCGGCTATAATAAAAATGATGATCTACTTTCCAACTCTGATCGACCTCAATTACTAAGTAATATACCAAGATCCAAAAACACATAATTTTAAATTCTACATAAACAGAAAGGGAAGTTTGAACAGGTATGAGGACATAAAGTCATGGAAACGTCATGTAAAGTTTTTATCGTTTATTATAAAATGACTAAGATGGCACGCGCGTTTTGATTGGCTAAAAACCTATGTTTTATTGTGTCTGTAAACTCATAGAAAACTGAAACATTTTCCGTTTTACTTAAAGTTATTTTATAAAAGCAATAGACCACGCTTTCTATGGGTTTACCGGCGTAATAACCCACTTGGGATGTCGGGAGAAATGTTTTTATGCTCGGTGCGTTGGGAATTATGCGTGCGAATGGAGGTTACGTAATGCGTACTGCATTCAGGCGTGTTCATCACTCTTAGTGTTGGTTTGTGTTTAAATAGGTTCACCACGTGTTGTGCTCTTACTTTAGGTCGTTTCAGTGGGTGTAAGTTGTAATCGACCGTCACTTAGTTTCTTGCTTGCTTATCATGTCTGATAAGGAAGGCGTGGAGGATCCCAAAGTTATCTCTGTTGGGTTTTTTGAAGACTTAAGGTCTTACTTTGATAAAAAGTTTTCACATTTAAAGCGTGAGCTTTCTGATGATCAACTCTAATCGTCTTCATCCTTGGTGAAGAAACTTAAGACCGAAACGAGCTTAAGCTTCAAGTTTAGCGTCAACAAGAAGCAGTTCGAGTTTATTACTGAGACTTTGGAACACGTCACTCAGAGTCTTTCTTTTGTCGATTCGCTGAAATCTCCGGTCGATCTTGAAAACTCTGAGATTCATCAAGTTTCAGCGCTGATTCTTAAGCTCGACGATTCCCTCAAAGTTGCTTCAAAGGCCATAAAGCGAAGAAACAAGCTCATCGGAATAGCGGATAAATCGGATGCTGGCTGGGCCACAGTCGACGAGTATCTTTCTGACGAAGTCGCTTCTGGTTCTGAAGACGAAAAGAAGATCCGTGCTGCGGAGCAGAGGGCGTTGCGAAAGAAGAAGAACGCTCGTAGTGCGAAGTCGAAGTAAGTCGGGACAGAAGTTGAGTATTTTATCTGTTATTTTTATTCGTTTCCTTTGCCCATTCTTTATTTTCTTTAGCGTTTAGGAGGTCGTATTATACCACTGCCGACCTATTCCTCCTATACAATAAATTCATTATTGTGTATTTGCTTGTGTGTGTTTCATTATTACAGAGTTTAGAGCATAAATAAGTTATTTTCGGTACGCAGTTTAGAAAATAAATGTTTTTATGCTCGGTGCGTTGGGAATTATGCGTGCGAATGGAGGTTACGTAATGCGTACTGCATTCAGGCGTGTTCATCACGCTTATTGTTGGTTTGTGTTTAAATAGGTTCACCACGTGTTGTGCTCTTACTTTAGGTCGTTTCAGTGGGTGTAATCGACCGTCACTTAGTTTTCCTCTTGCTTCCTTTTTTCTTTACAGTTCATTCAGCGCCCAGAGACTCCCTCGGGGTTTTCATCGGCTGTCTCCTCTATCACTCCACGAAATTTTACTAATTTTCGTCCTCAAACGTCTAAGGGCGCCTTTGTTAAAGGCCGTTATGACATCTCCTTCGCCTGCGGCAAGACCGGCCATTGGAGAGCAAGTTGCCCCAACTTATTCTTCACTCCCGGATCAACCTACAAACAGATCCAAAGCTTGTCAAGTAAAGACAGCGGTTCTTCTGGGCAGCAGTAGTTCCATTGCTGATAGTAAAGCAGTAAATGAAACTCTTGAAGGTATTTTTGACGAAGGTCCAGCTTTAGAGGAGTGTTTTGAATTTGGGAATTCTCCCAATAGTATTCAATCGGTTAAGGGTAGGCTTAAAGCTCATTTTAGTTTTTGGGCGGATACGTTAGGTGCAAATGAGAGAATAACAGTTTACCTTGATGACGGGCTTGGTTCGGCCCGTGATTTCGCTCGCTGCGAAGCTGCTTCATTATTTGTTAAGACTTCGCTTCAGCTTTCTGGTTTCCTGCCTTATGACAGTAAATCGATTTGGCAACCAACTTCTTGTTTAGTCTGGTTGGGTTATTGTATTGATTTAGCCGTTCATACTATTTCCATTCCTTCACTTAGGATTCTCAGTGTCGTACAGATTATTGATTCAATTCGTTCTCAGTATCCTTCTAGTACTGCTAGAAAATTGGCTCAGTTTGTCGGTAAGGTTATCTCTATGGGTTTCGTCTTTGGTAACGTTACTCGTATTATGACAAGGTATTCTCATTTTGATATTTTAAGAAGCCCTACAAAAAAAAAGAAAAAAAAAATTCCCTGTCGGGTTCAACTCTGAAGGAATTATGTTTTTGGAAAGAGAACATTCCTTCTCTAAATAGTAGGCGCCTCTTGTCTACACAGTTCCATTATTCCCGTGTGTGTTATTCCGACGCGAGTTCTACAGGCTGCGCCAGTTATATGTTAGATCTTCTCAACACCATTTCTCACAAGTTGTGGAGTGTTAATGAGGCGCAGAAGAGCTCCTCTTACAGGAAACTTAAGGCCGTTTTCCTGGGTCTAGAATCTTTTTTGCCTTTACTTAAAGGGCGCACTATTTAGTGGTATACTGACTATCAGAGTGTTGCTAGAATCGTTGAAGTAGGAAGCATGAAGGAAGATTTCCAATGCTTAGCTTTGCGTATTTTTAGTATGTGCTTGCTCAGTTGTATCACATTGGAAATCGAATGGATTCCGAGATCGGCTAATGATAGAGCTGATTTTTTGAGCAGAATTGTGGATTATGATGATTGGCGGGTCAACAGGGACTATTTCCTTTTGGCCGAAGAGAAATGGGGTCCTCACTCTGTGGACCGGTTTGCGAATCATGAGAATACTCAGTTGCCCCGTTTTAATAGCAGGTTTTGGTGCCCTGGTACAGAGGCGGTTGATGCCTTTTCTGTTTCCTGGGCGGGCGAGATTAATTGGCTCGTTCCACCTATTTTTCTCATCCCCAAGGTCCTTAATCACATGGTTGCCCTTGGCGTTCGCGCTACACTTGTTGTTCCTGCTTGGCCTTCCGCCCCATTTTGGCCTTTAATTTCTACTGACGAGGGTTTGTCTCCCATATTCTCTGATATTTTTGAGATCCCCTTAGGTACTGATGTTTTCGTTTTGGCTAACTATAAAAATTCCGCTTTTTGGATCACCTAATTTTCGTTCAGGGGTTTTGTTCTTGTGGTTTTCCTAGAGAGGCCTTAGTTAACCCCCCCCCCCTTTTTTAGTCTTGTAGGGGGGTTTTTCTCAGCAGTTTATAGAGTTCTTACGCTCATACCACATGGTATCCGAGTATTTTGGGATGCACTTGGATCCTTGTTTTGTGGACCACTTGGTCTTTTTTATTACGCAAGGGCCACTTTGGCCCTTAGTGGTAATATTTTTCTGTGTTTTTCTTGGGACCACTTGGACCCAACCTTACCTTGTTTCACTACGTGTTGTATTTTTCTGATATATTTTTTCTTTGGTCATTTTTGTCATTTTATTTTCTCTATTTTTTGCTTCAGATGTTAAAGCAGCTGCCAGTCGGATGTTTGGCGTTTTACTTTGTGAGGAGTTTTGGCTCTCTGCCTTTAATTCTTGAGCTGATTACACAGTTATTAATTATTGTAAATCATTTTGTAAGTTTAAAGCGTGGTGCTTGCAGAGCACTGGGGAGGTTTCTTTTCTCCCAGCTACTTCCTTCACAGTTTCCTTGTATTTGTATCATTTATTAGAAAATTCGTTAGGTAGTTCCATCATTTACGGCGTTTTTTACGCTATTAACTGGGTACATAAGTTATCAGGTTTTGAGAATCCCAACCTGTGTGACAACTTTCTCGTCAGGTCTATTGTTGAGGCTTCCAGTCGTGCTCCTCGTAATCCTGTCAGGAAGGCGGAGCCCATTACCCCAGAGATCCTTGGCTTAATTTTGCAGCATTATGGGGAAAGTAGTAACTTACTTGATATCTGGTTTGTCTGTATGTGTTTACTCGCATATGCTGGCTTTTTCCGCATTTCCGAGCTTTTAAGCATTAGGAGATCTAATATTGTAACTGAAGATCTCTATCATAAGATTTTTATAGAAGTTAGCAAGACTGATAGGTACAGAGAGGTTTCCTGGGTTTATTTTGCCAAGACTGGCAATTTTACTTGCCCTTATACATACCTTATTAAGTACTTGGAAGCTGCCAGGATTCCTTCTTTTTCTCAGAATTTCATTTTCAGATCCCTACGGTACGACAAGGATTTGAAGGGCAATGTCTTGTCTTCAAAGCCCCTCACTGCTAGGTCCGAAGGAGCTACTTCCGCTGCTAATCTGAATGTTCCAGATCGGCTTTTCAAAGTTCACGGAAGGTGGAAGTCAGATTCAGCTAAAGACGGCTACGTCCACGATAAAGTCGACTCGCGTCTTTATGTTCCTTTGCACATTGGAATTTAATTTTTTCAATTTTTGTACGAGTGGGTTTAGATTCAGTTTGTATTTTTCCTATCATTTATACTTCTGTATCATGTAAGTTGTGTTTGTTAGGAGGTCGTATTATACCACTGCCGACCTATTCCTCCTATACAATAAATTCATTATTGTGTATTTGCTTGTGTGTGTTTCATTATTACAGAGTTTAGAGCATAAATAAGTTATTTTCGGTACGCAGTTTAGAAAATAACACTCGAAAAGCTTGTAAATCACGAGCCGAAGGCGAGTGATTTACAAGCTTTCCTCGTGTTCTCCCTACATCCTAAGTGGGTTATTACGCCGGTAAACCCATAGAAAGCGTGGTCTTTTGGTTAAGTAATTTTCGTTTAAAAAGCTATAAATTGATGATGATAAGAGATAAGGTAGCTATAATGGCTGTGGGAGGACCTGAATGGGGGTACCTCGATTAATTTTTTGGCTCGTCTGTGAAATGAAACAGTTAAATTTTGGGCATTTTGATGCTAGCAGTAAAAAATTCGCTGTAACAGTAAATTCTTTCCAGAACCATACAAAAAAGACTCCGGAAAGGCCAATATTATTTCGTTCAGTATGTCAAGGAGTTTTCGACCATTTTCTTACTCCGACTTTCAAAATATTTCCGAACACTGCCAAAGATTTCTACAGACTACCGAAAATGTCCGAAGACTGCTACAGCCCCTTCGAGCACGGGCTCAAAGTTCAGGAGTGATTTTATTACCGATTTTCTAAGAGCAGATAAGGATTGAAAATGCTAAAAAAACTTTGGTTTTCCACGCAAAACCGTCTAAACACTTAGCAGTACTTTCTTCCGAAACTGCAACAGGAAACATTAAAATTTATGAGCAAATAAGACTAAACACTACTAAACCCAACTGATTCAGAGCCTAAAATTGTTTTTGTTTCGTACGATTGGCGATGATAAAATACAGTCGACAGAAATACACGTCAAGTTTTGTTTCCAATAATTGGTCAAAGCTATAGTAAAATTCGTATAAAATTTTTTTCAACGCGCGCGATAACGTCGGATGCCGTCCTAGATATAACTGAAGTAAGGTGTAATAAAAAAACCTCGTGTAATAGCCAATGAGATCAAAGAAGTTTTTCTGAAAACCTATTATTAAACATGCTGTAGAACAAAGAATAATCGAACAAGTTGGTCAAAACCCCAGTGGGGGGGAGGTACTCAGGATTTCAAGTGACGGGGATGATTGGATCGCCCGCACAAACATCCCGCCCCGCCCCTCCCCGCACGACGACCCCTAACATTCACGCATCCGAGCTGCCACAAGAGACAAAACAGACCAAACCGAATACCCAAAAAAAAAAAAAACCTCTGTGAAAAACCAAAGGAAAAAAAAAAATTTTTTTAAAAACCTATTATTAAAAATGCGGTAAAAAAAAAAAAAAACGAAAAAGTTGGTTAAAACCCCCGGGGGGGGGGGGGTCTCAGGGTTTTAAGGGGGGGGGGTGATTGGATCCCCCCCCCCCCCCCCCCCCCGGGCAAAAATCAAAACGCAAAAAAATTAGCATTAAATGATATAACACGAAAAATAGAAACATTACGCGACCGGGATACGCGAGCACTACAACGAATCCAAGATTCCTTTAAATACCCAAACAAATCCCTAGTTAAATCAAGCCACCAAAAACAAAACTTGCCAACTTTTCCTACGAAAAATCCCGGAATCGAAAAATTCAGACCCAAAAAACCGTTCCATCATCCTCGTCAACGGCATCTGGTGCGAAGGGGACGATGGAAAGTCTTCTCGTTACTACTAATAAGGGCCTAAGAGAGGACTGGGGACGAGTCAGTTTGTAATTCGTAGTATCTGGCCTCAAAGTGTGTCTTCTCGACCTTTTTCTTGTTAGAACCCGCACCATGGTCAATCAGGAATCAGCGACCGTATCCAGCTGCCTTTGCTCTGGTAGAAAAGACAAGGGAGCCAGGACGTTGTTGGCTTCAATCAGCAAGTGACCCACCTAATAAAATGTGAACACAATTTAAAAAAAATAATAAACTGAGCCAAGTAATAGATCCTCTGGTTTGTTTTTTGTTGTCATCTTTTTTTTTCTTTCGTATATAAACCGCAGTGTAAGTAAACAACGCTAGCTTATTCGTCAGGAGCTCTGTCACGATATCTATCAAAATTCAGACAGCAAGATTTGCAGGATTTGCCATCAAATTGAGTGAAACACAACGGTTCAGGAATTGTCAACGAAAGAAGTCAGTTGGAAGGACTCAGTAATCAAAGATAAAGCTACAGTTTCTAGTGCAAGCCTCCTATACCTACTCTGAATTCTATTGTGCCGTTGTAAAAAGAAAGGCCGGAATAAATTCGTTTTTGGTTTTGATGATTTTTAGAAATCGGTCACTGCAAGCGCACTGTGAACGTCAGATAATTTACATGCAGCTCTACCTAATTACCAAAGTAAAGAAGCCTTGACTGTGCTCTGTTCTGTTCTTTTTGAGTGCTCTAGCTACTTCCCAAGTATTTTACAACAGTACAGAGCACAATTAAAACTTCTTTAATTATTTCATGATAAGAAGTCTTCCGTAGACTTTCACACGCATATCACTTGCTAATTTTCAAAACAAACATTTTAGCTCCGTGTTTTATACTCTCATAAAGTACGCTTTTTCAGTCAATCAGAGTGCGCGTTATATCTGAACTTTATTATAAAAGGCAATTCGAGGCCCCATCCAGACGTATCTGGATAGTTTTGAATCTGCAACTTTTTGTTTCCGGATACAGCTTCCATCCAAACGCCGATCCGGTGAATCCGGTAGATAAATCCGCGACTTTTTAAATCCGCTTTCCAGAGGGGAAATTTTTGAATCCGCCGACGTCACAAGATCGAGCCGAGTTCTTTACCGTGAATATTCAAGACGGTCCGAGCAAAGAAAAATTAGCGGAGTCAAAAATATCCGGATACGTGTGGACGGGCAAATTCGATTTGAATCCGGATACGTGTGGACATGAAAATTTTTGTATCCGGAAATAAAACGTTGCGCATTCAAAAATATCCGGATACATGTGGATGTTCCCCCTGAATATAACCGTTTTTCAGACTAGAGGTTAGCGGTTTTTGAAATTAGCAATTTCCTGAGATAATGTACAGAAAAGGATAAAGAAAACTTCTATTTAGGCAACTGGACAGGCTTTTCAGAGTGCCGTCAAAGAAACGCGAAGGAAAACAGTGAGTTGAAGTCACAACGACATTCTGATAAACAAAATTGCCGCGTACTCTCCCCTCCCTAACCCTTCCTTCATCTCCCCTGCTCACCAAACCCAGGCGCAAAAATCGCCACCCTGAACTTGAGACACCAAAACCCTGCATTATTTTTTGGCGTCTTACCTGTAGTTTCCATCACATTAGAGATTTTCAAGAGAATATCTATATAATAAGGACCTTAAGATCTTACGAAGGCGACGGTAACGAGAACGTCCAAAAAGCAATAGGTTTAGTAAGCAAAACAACAACTTTGCACGTGCACCACGATTTTTTGTACATTTCTTTGTCGTCACTGCACGACTACGATGGGAAAATGCCTAATTTCACGTTGATGGACGACGTAAACAAGCAACGACGAAGTCTTTCTCTTCCTGAACTTGGATTGGGCTCTTAGGGATTCAACTCCATGAGAGTTCCTCTACATTTTACAAAGTGATTTGGAATAATTGCGACGAAGTTTGCAAAAACGCGAATTCCCTTTTTTAAAGCTACGTTTTCGCTGCCGTCGCTGCATCCTCGCATCTTAAAGTCCCTAATTTGATGAAAGTGTGTGCGAAATGACCTTGAGTACGAAGCCTAAGGCGTCAAAGCTGGGATTTGTGATATAACAATTCTCTACTTGCCCTGCAACTGTAATCAGTGGGCTTTTGATAATAGCTATGTACCATCTAATTAACAATGACAGAATCGACAAAGGCAAATTTTGCCAGGGTGTAGGGTGTTCTGCACACATCTGCGTCAAGCCTCCCTTAAAAGACAACCCAAAACTGTGAAGATTTAGTAGTCGCTTATCAAAATCGAACAACAGGGTGTTTCTTTCCGAAGAGAGGGTCCCTACAAATCTACATTTTGGCAGAGAATTTATTGCTTTTAAACCGTTTTTTCTAAGTTAAGTATTGTAGTTCAATGTTGTGAATGAAAAATTTCAGAAAACTCTATAAGGCAAAGTACACACAGCAAACAAAGAGACTCCTCAGTTTTTCCCTTGGTTTGTGTGGTTCTTGTAGTTTTCCTGGTTCTTTCATGTTCCCGTAGTTCTTCTTGTTTCCCTAGGTCTTGTGCAGTGGTTCCCCTGGTTCTTGTGGTTCCGGTGGCTCTTGTCATTTCCGAGGGTCTGGTTGCTCATGACGTTCTTAATGTTCCCGTGGTTCTTGTAGTTTCCTTGGTTCTTGCACAGTGGCTCCCCTGGTTCTTGTGGTTTCCGTGGTTCTTGTTTTATCCGAGGTTCTTCTGGTTCCAGTGGTTCTTGTAGTTCCCTTGGTTCTTGTGGAGTGATTCCCCTGGTTCTTGTGGTTCCAGTGGTTTGTGTAGTTCCCTTGGTACATGTGGTTCCCGTGGTTCTATTGGTTCTTCCTGTGTTTCTTCTGAATCCCGCAGTTTTCCTTTTATCGTAGTTATTGTGGTTCCCGTGTTTTTCGAAGTTCCCGTGGTTCTCATGGGGTTAACAAGGGGTTACAGGGGTTACAAACACAACAATTAACAATTATTGAACGAGGTTGAGCAAAATATCGTGATTTGTCTGCGGCGAGCAGATCAGATAATTGATCTGCGAGACACTGACAAATCACGATATTTTGCGATAACCAAGTTTAATAACTGTTTTATCATTCGATCACCGAGTTTGTTTTTTTTTTTTTTATGAATATCCGTGGGAAGCGAAGCGATCTGCCATTTTCACGCAAGAGCGATCGCAAGAAGGAGAAAAGCACGGTTTCCTTTACGCATGAGCAGAATATTATTTGCAGCCAAAC